GTCTCACAAGAGCAGAGTACACGGGACATGCAGTTATGGCATCGTCTCCCCTGGTTGGGAAACATCTTGATCCTTGCAATGGGGCAAGTCAGGTTTTCTCCCTTTTCCTTAACGAGCAAGTTCTCCAGGCAGCCGTCAGGACATGTTGCAATGTCGTACGACAATGGTTTAGTAATACTGAATTCCTCCCGCTCCCTCGCTTGTTCAGGAACCGGATCTTGAGAGGCAGACCGGGTGGTGAACTAGTCGTGTTCCTCTTTCTGTTAGCGTAGCTGATGTTTTCTAAAACACGCACGTGTGTGCCTCTGAGCTGCGTGAGAGCTTTTTACACTTCACTGTGTGTGTCACTCACTGCAGCGTTTTGTCTTTGGTTTTACTGGATTCCTTAGGTTTTTGGTTTGTAGGGCTTTATTTGTGCTAGTGTAAGATATGACTACAGGTATTTTGGTACAGAGAGATCTGGCTTTGATTTGCCTGTGCCCTGAGAAATGAAATATGTTCTCTTAAACACCTACTTCGAATTCCTTTAAGAAAAAGAAGTGGTTTTTCTGTCTAGGGATTATTATTTAAAACTGAAGTATTGTAATGGATGCCAGTGTTTACAGCACCAAAGTCCATTTCGGAATGCTGATCTCCTGGTAGGCTACATATAAAAGGTGGACCACTATCGAGTCATAAACAAGGTCCCTATGCAACTGATGCGGCCCAGAGCTAAGCATTCTGAGAATAAGCTTTCTGTAAGGCTGAGAAGACATTAAAAAATGCTGCAGTAACTCTTGGTCAACATAAACCAAAGAAATTGTGAAAACACATGCTTGAGTTGGGTTGTTTGGAAAGGGGGAGAGCAAGAGTAAAGTTAGGATTTGTTTCTTCCTTCTTGTGAAGCATATGGTTCTAGACCTTTTCTTCCATTTGAAGGGAAGGTAATGAGAACTGTAACATACATATGTCATAATGAAAGATGTCTATATGGCTGTATGTAGTGCTTAAATTTTATACAAGGAAGGAAACGTATAGTTAAATAATAACTGAGCAAGGTAGGAAAAGGTGTAGAATAACATTTGTTTTGCCAGTGGCATTTTACTTCTATTGTAAATGAAAAGACATAACATTTAAGAACTTAAGCCACAACTTCTGTTATTTCAAACAAAACCTAGTAAAGTGAGAATATCAGTTATGAATTTTAAATGTTGAATTACAAGCTGCTAGAATTCTCTGTTAGATAATCTTGTAAATACTGAAAAACATTCTACCTTGGAGTTAATTTTCCTTTTTTCTTTTAGTAGCAACCTGGAATACAATGACAAATGTGTGTTGCTTCTTCTTCCTTATCGTGTTATGCCTGTTTTCTGTAGGATAGATAAGCCCGAGGAGGCCTAATGGTTTAGTTATTGATTAACTATGTTACCAACATGGTCAGCACTTTGAATTTCAGGCATAAATGACCAAGAGTTTGCATTCACCTCTGATAACAAGTTGGGCGTGATCCCCAATCCTCTTCTGGTTGGGGGAGGGGCTGGCTTGCATGTTCTGTAAATATAAATAGAAGTGGGGCAAAGAAATACAAGTTGTTTCATTGAAATGTGGGGTTTTCTAACTGAAGCAACTGTTCAATAACCTTGGATAAACATTTATAAAACTGCTGTAGATGAACATCAGTAGTAATGTCTGAATAACTTGCTTGTTTTCTAATATATAACAGATACTCTGATACACTGCTATAAGGCAGTACTTAAACAGTTTCTTAAATACAAATGCTAAATATGAGAGTTCAGAACAGTTTTTTTGACTATTCTGTTTAACTTAATCCTTCCTGAAACAGCAGTTTTGAGTGCCTTGGATGAAGAAATTGCTTTAAACAAAGAAGTTATTTCAAATGTGTTGTGTTGGTATTTAAGAAAAATAGGATTTAGTCAGTTTGAAACAGTAAGGTGAGATTCCAGAACAATCTGTTTAGTGTCCTTACTGATTTTGGGGCCCTTATAGTAAAACTGACTCCTTGTAAAATAAAAACTGCAAAACATAATGCAGAAAACCTTTCTACTCTTTCACAATAGTGTAGGGTGGTACCTGTAACTAGAATCAGCATAGGCTCAGATATCTAGAGATGTGCTTTCCCTCACAATACCTCTTATCTGTCTTATCTGAAAGACTTTGGGTTTTGTCTTAACTCTGTAATGTATAGTTGGTAATCCTGTCAACTTTTGAATAACATGAATTGAATTTTGTATTTTAGGGTAAAATCTTTGGAATATCTTTTCACGCGTTACCACAATCACTTGTGCCAGAATATGGTTATGTTCCAAGGTAAATTAACACTGTATTCTTACTTTGCTCTCTTTATAGTACTGAACTCTTGTTGGAAGAGGTAACATAATATTTATTCCAGGCCTGCTAAAGCTTATGGGAGATATAAGAATAGTTTCAGCTGGGGAAGGAGGGATGCGGAAGTTAGATGGGGAATTCAGAGCCAGAGCTGTCATTCAGTTGTGTTTCTTTATTCTTCTTGTAATTGGGGAAAACTGTTCTCTATATAAAGTTTTGTCTGTTTATCATGAAACAGTTTTTCTGGAAAAAACAAGCTTTATTGAGTGTCAGAAGTATGTTACTGTTCTTTCCTCAGCTTTCTTGTTGATACTTGTGAATATTTGGAAGAACATGTTCATACTGAGGGACTCTTCAGAAAGTCTGGATCTCTTGTTCGTTTAAAAGCTTTAAAGGTATTTGCTAAAGCTTTTTTTTTTTTTTTAATAACCTGCATTTCACTTCATCATCTGCATGTTGTAGTCTTTGGTCTCTTTTCAGTCATATTCGCGTTTTAATATTGGCAGTAGACTGGTAACATTACCTGCTTTAGAAATGAGAGAACTTGTCCAGAAACTGGCAAACTTCATCTTTCCTGGCAAATTTTTCAGCTTTCCAGATGGTGGAAATACACATGTGACTGAACAAACTTATTAGCAGCTATGTGCACTGGATACTGTGAGGGCATTTGTTTAGCAATGCTCTCCCAGAAGGATGTGTACATGGGAAACCTGTAAATTAACACGTGTAGTCTGGCACCATGGTGTCCCTTTGTAGATACTGTAGGTTAGGTGAAACATGACAAGGCTGAAACTCAAAATGGGGAAGATGTGACTGTCTTTTCTGATACAGGCTAGAGGATTAATGCCTAAATTTAGGAATCTGATGGTATGTTGAAGACTTCAAATCATGTTTCTAATGAACAATTTCAGAGTAAGCTGGATCAAGGTGAGAACTGCCTCTCAGCTGCACTGCCATGTGATGTTGCAGGCCTTCTTAAACAGTTCTTTAGAGAGATGCCAGAACCCATCCTTCCACATCACCTGCAGGACAGCCTTTTTAAAGCTCAGCAGCTAGGAAACGAGAAGAAAACTGCAACTGTGTTGCTGTCGTGTTTGATGGCCGACAGAACAATTGACGCTTTGAGATACTTTTTCAACTTTCTGAGAACTGTGTCCCTAAGGTCAGTGTAAAGAGAGGGCTTGTAAACAGCTCCCAATTCCTTTAACAACTTCTCTTTCCAGGCAACTGCCGTAACTTTCTGTGAATAGCGTTTGACTTCTAAAATTGCTTTCTGCAGTCATTCCCTAGAATTCAGTCGTTGTCTTTTCTTTCACAAATCCAGAGTGTTTTCTTTATGAAACTTTGTTTTGCTGGAGACTTGACTTTTTTTTTTTTTTTCATTCTTTCATGGCTATATTCCTCATTCTTTTTTGGAAAGCAAAAGGAGTGACTGGTGAAATTAACATAAGCTAACTGATACCTTGCATTCCCCAAAGCTGACTGGGGTCTGTAACCTCCTGATTTCAATAACATAGTCATGTGATTACCTAGCCTGGGGTGCATAAGTCTACACGTTAATCTCAGTATGTGAGCAGTTAAGGGAATGACTCCATATATTTTTTTACCTGCATTTGTCTTTTTTTTTCCTCTCTCAATTGCTTATGCCCTGATAATCTTGGGGGGAGGAGGGGAAGAACCAAAAAAACCTCACCAAGAACAAACCGACAACTTTTTTTGTTAAGGTCCAATGAAAACAGAATGGATAGCAGTAATCTTGCAGTGGTATTTGCTCCCAACCTCTTGCACTCAAATGGAAATGAAAAGATGTCAGCCGGTACAGAAAAAAAAATTCGCTTGCAAGCTGCTGTTGTGCAAACACTTATTGACAATGCAGCAGAAATTGGTAAGATAAATCTTTACCAGAATCTTTTGTGGCACATGCTTTTGTACAGAGCTTTTCTTTTCAACTTTTTAAATAACTTAAAAATATTTCTCAACTAATTCAGGACAAGTACCAGAATTTATCTTGGAAAAGATTCCTGCAATGTTAGGTGATAATGCCTTTCAGTCTACTCCCTCACTGTGGGGCCAGGAAGATGGTGAAAACGAATCTCCCAGTGAATGTAAAAAGAGGAGGCACCAAAGTGTTGGGGGTAGGTATGTTGTGTGAAATTTTCAACAACTAAAATTGAATTATTTTGTGACTTTGGGTATGCTGATCTTAAGCACTTGCTTCTTCTGCAAGCAGAATAGATGCCTGGGAAATTTGTAGGGTTTGATTTGCAAAATCTAGGTAAGACTTCAGTAATCCCATCACTCTATTGTCTATTTAATCCGATTTTATTTTAGTGTGTCTGTTTACCAAAGAAGCTATTTTGCTTGTGTTCCAGATCTGTGAAGCCAGATTAATGTTCCAGCTTTTTGTTGAATAAGCTTCAGATCCTGTTGCAGAACACTAATAAAGATTTTTTTTTTCCTAGTTTTGAAATTATACTTGGAAACTCAGAGATATTGCATACTTTGACAAGTCAGGCTATGAGAAGGCAAGGATATAAATGGCGTGTTTGTTTTGAATTAGAGTAATTAGTGTTTTGAAGTGCAACTCTGAATTGGATTTTATTGGATGTTATGTGCTCTGATATGGATCTGATTTCTTTTGCAGTTTAGCTATTCAATAGGGTTGGGTTTCTTTGCCAAATATGGACAGTCAAATGTCATATTCTCTGTTCTTCAACCTCTTTGAGGAAATATTATGGAATATGTATGCTTGACTTGATTCAAATCCACTATACACTGATCTTTTATGTATTGCTATAAAAATATGAGTTTGTTTTATTATTAATTTATATTATTCCAGCTCATGTACTTGGAATATTAAGCCTACCAGCAATTGGAATTAAGGCTTTATTATTGTATAAGTTTAGCCAAGGCATGGGGGTTTTTTTTGTGTAACTGAAGAAGGGAGATCATCCTGGAATTGCAAACTGATAAATGTTTATGAATGTTAAGGATGAAGGAGCAGCAGTTAGAAGTTGTTAATTCTGTGGAATAGGTTCTGGTAGTAGGCAGCTTCTACTCTTTCTCCAGATGTAGTAAAACACAATATTACTACAATTTGTTTTCAAAGATGAGTTTTTAAAACCTACCTGATCTTTACCAGACATCATAAAAGTACTGCAGGCTTGCAGTTTGAAGTTTTGCTATGAACACCTGGAAATACAACTGTGGGTTGCAGTAGCACTTAATAAAATCACTTCCACTTTACACTTTTAAAAGCAGGAAAACCAGTAAAATTTCATGTGTATACTCTGCTGGGTTTAATTTTGCTTTAAAGGGAAAAAAAGAAACCCACCCACAAACAAAACCATGTAGTTCACAATACAGTTTTATTTCTTTTGCAAGACCAAAAATTCATACTTCTATTTGGGCCTAACTTCAAAGCTCTAAGAGCTTTTCAGTTTCAAGATGACTGTCCAGAAAAGTGAGAAAGTCTGTGGGACATTGAGAGAGAGACTTCAATGGATGCCTTCTGATTTCTTGTAGACAAAGCTAGTAGGTATATGATTTTTGAAAGATCGGTAGAATTTTCTACAAGAAACTTCTGCTGTCTGTGCATGAATTTTTCTTTTTTTCTTTTTCCTTTTTTTTTTTTAAGGAAAGTAGAATTTTTCAGCTGTTGTGAAAGCAACAAAAACTGTCGGTGAGAAGGTCTGGACTATAGTTTTCTTTGCATAAAACAACCACTTAAACTGAGTTGCTTTTTTTTTTTTTTGAAAGAATACAAGGTCAAAAATTTTTACCTTGTATTTTAAAATAGAGCGAGACAAACTTAAATATTTGATCGCTCGGTGTGTCTTGCGTTTCAGATATTGTTAGTGGAGCATTGAATAAACTTAAATCTCACAGAACACCCTCCACTACACCTCAACAAGACAGAAGCGGTAGGTATTGGTGTATTTCTACCAAATAAAGCTCATGCAGTATCTTCTGGATTTGTCAGCTATATTCCACAAATTTTTTTTAACTGAAGAACTAGACCTTGGTTGAAGATAAATGATTATGTTTAAATTGATTAAAACTTTGAATATAGATACATATTCATTGAGGATACTGCATTTACTGTAGTTCTTGGAGCAGCTACGATCACTACAGCGGTGGGCTGTGCAGTTCTAGGATTACACGACTGAACTCACGCTTTTTATCTAATGCACACTAAGGCTTCAGCGCAGTAGTGCAGCATTTTATCATCTTGGGAATGAATTTGCCAGGACTGAACAGCTTTCACTCTTACTCGGCCTCCTAAGTTTACAGAAGATAAACTACTTCTTTTTTTTCTCTCCTAATATCTGTGTTACCTTATTATTGTGTGGTTTTTGGATTTCCCTTTCCGATACTCTGACTTGCAGAAAGAAAAACCAAAATAAAAAAATCCCTAAGCTAATGCTGATTGCTTTGCCTGTTCAAAATGCATGCACTTTAGCTAAGTTTTACAACAATTTTCTTTCACAGTTTAAACCCAACAACAACTGTTTATATTTTAATAAACACTCAACCTTTTAAGCTGCTATTGTAAACTTGGTTTTCTTAATTTCAGTCCTTTCATCTGTGACGCCGGTGGTTCTTACTCCAAGTACCAAGCGTAAACTTCCACCTGATTGCTCTCAGGGCTTATCCAGCAAGAAGAGACGATCTTTTAAGCATAGTTTTGCTTTTGAGTTGTTACCAAGTAGCATTTTTAACAGCAGCTCGACACCAGCATCAGGTACCCTGCCTTCACTTTGTCTGAAGTTGTTGTTCACAGCTTTTAATTTAAATGTACAGTCTTTTGTTCTTGTTTAAGGAGTCTTGGATAGTCTTTGCTTAACAGTGTTCCTTGCACTATTCTCACATCTTAGTAAATAGTTTATGTTCATCAGTGACTGTCATGTTACATGGATTGAGGAAACGCTCAACAAGTTCCTTGTTTTCTGTTTTATTAATCTCAGACCTGCAATCCTGATGTCCTTTTATCTTTTCTAGTCTCTACATATCACCTAGGTTATAGTCACGTTTGTCTTGGCAGTTTTCATGGATTTGAGTGCCTATGCTTCCAACCTCTTCTAGCTGCCTTGTGTCTCCTAAGTACTTCAATAGGTGGTCTTAGCTCTATGTGAAATGTAATTGTTGCTATTATAAAGGTTATTTTTTTTTAATCAAAACACCTCATTTTCTCTAGATGATAAATAATCACAAAAATATATAGAAAAAGTTTTACTTTTGTTTGAGTATGCTTTAATACCACTTCATTCTACTAGAGTGCTTCCAACTCTCAGGTTCTTGTGCCAATCCTGTTTTAATTTTGTTTGGTTCCTTAATGTGCTGCCAACTGGTTAGAGTAAAAAGCTTCTAGATTGGTCATGTTTGTTTGCCTGAAGATCAATATTTTTTGTCCTCAATTGAGCGGTATAAAACTTAGTGCTGTTTGTTAAATCACTTCATACTCACCACGAAATTCTTATTTCTATGGATAACCAAACCAAAGCAATGATACTGTCTAAAGATAGTAGGAATGCATCTGTTTCATAAAAAGGTTAAATAGTAGAATAGCAACTCTTTCATCTGTTGTTGCTTTAAATGTTCTGGCTAATTAGGAAAAAAACCCCAACCCAACCCAAAAACCACACTTCAAATAATATTAAGACTGAATCTGATTTTTCTTATTAAACTCTTAAATTTGAGATACTGATCTAATGATAGCAGTTTGGAAACTTAATTGAGGTAGTGATAGCAGCAGCATGCAATCCAGCCACTCCTATGGATGCTACAAGCAACAGCTTAATTTAATATTATATGAAAGTGAAAATCAAAGTAACTTCAAGCCAGCAGTCCACAAAATACAATAAATAATAGGTTTTTAAACACTGCAGATTGGTTTGCTTATTAACTGTTAAGCCTTTATCTGAAAAAAATGTGACTATTAAGATCATGTAACTATGATTCCGTTCTTGTAGTTCAGTTTGAAGCAAGCCCTTGTGTGTCTCTTGAGTCATCACAACCTTCTCCGTCTCCTTCAACTGGTGGCGAAAGTCATCTGTCTAGTGCAGGGAAGAGAAGAAGTAAAAGACACGCAAGCAGAAAATTGTACAGGTAATTTGCCTCAACTCTCAAACTAAAGATAAATTGGAAAGGTAGGTCTGGACCCTCTGTTTAATGATACCTTAAAAGTCAGATTGAGATTTTACTTATCTTTATTGGTGTTCAATACATAATACATCTTTGTAAGCTTAAAATCACCAGATCTTCCAATGTGGCAAAATGGAGCTCAAAACAAGATCTGGTAGAGTCACCTCCTGGGCTTAAAAAAAGCTTGGCAAGAAGGCAACAGAAGTAGTAAAACTAGAGGAAATGACCGTAAGTGTGAGGATCTTTTCTCTCCTAAAAAGTTTGTGTCACCACTTCCCCTCTGTCCTCCCAGGGCTGAATCAGGAAAGACAGGTTGTTTTTCTCCAAAGATCAGCCGAAAAGAAATGGTTCGTAGGTCGCTACGTTTGAAGTTTGGTTTGGGGAAGAGCAACAGAGAAATGGTAAGTATTCTGCTTCTATCCCAGTCATCTCGTTACTGTGCAGATTTTCATCCTAAGTTTTGGGCACTGCTTTTCAGTACCAGGAAGGACTTAGTTGGTAATGGAGGGATCACAACATGACTGGACCTGCTATCAAGTACAAGAAGCCCTGGGTTTATTTTCACAGTAACAGAGCAGCTTGTACTGGGTTTGGCTGGGGGAGGGCACAGTTGGTCTGAACTGACCAAGAAATTATTCTATCCCATAGAATGTCATGCTCACCAATGAAACTGGGATGGGGGGGGAATTTTGGCAAAGTAGCCACTGCTCAGGGCCTGGCTGGGCATCTGTCCACTTGTGAGTGATTGCTTTTGCATCACTTGTGGGTTTGGGGAGTTTTGTGTCTGTCCACCATTGTGTGGTGTTGTGTGTGTGTGTGTCCCGCCCTCTTGCCCTTTTCAATTCTCTCCCTCATCCTGCTGGTGAGTGAGCAAGCAAGCAGCTGGATGGAAGCTTACCTGACAGCTGGGGTCAACCCACCACACTTGTGATCAGTAGATCTCAGCTCCTGAAATTCTGGTACTGCAGAGCCTATGTACAGAATTGCTATGTTCCAAGTGGGGTTAAGCCTCCCTTACTGTGGGTGGGTTGTTCCCTACCTAGGTCTACAGAGAATCAAGGGAGGATGAAGTGTAGCCAAGAAAAGTCTGCTATGGCTGATTTGCATAGCCTTTTCCAGGAGTTTCTTCTGTAAATGAGTTCCAAATTATAAGTTTGTATGAAAGTAATTAAAACCTTTTTTTCAAGAATATTCTATCGGGATGTGCGGTTGGTAATAGATCTGAAAATATTGGAAGGCGTCTTGCAAGTCAGCAAGGTTTGGAAAGCAGAACGGAATGTGCAAAAAGAGATGTACTCTTCAGCCCATGTGTCAATGAAAAATTCCCTAAAAAAGGTAACTAACAATATACTGGATTGGGAGAACTTCTTGTTTTGTAAAACAAAAGTAACATTATGGGTAAGGGTATAAAAGCAATAGGATTAAAAGTGGTTCAAGCTAGTAAGACAAAACTTCCTTGAATGTTAGTGGCTCCTGGGCAGGAAGAATTGGTTTAAGACAGGCTTCTTGTGTTTCTAGTCTATTTTAGTGGTTCTCTGCTGTTGGTTAAGTGAGATACGGGATTTCAGTTTTTAATGTTAGAACCTTTTTCAGATCTCTGAAACTTAAGAAAATAATGGTATCTTTAAATTCAGTGCTGCTTTTGGTAATTAGGCTTTTAGCAATAATTCTGCCTATAATGATCATGGAAATTGCAAGATATTATCCTTAAACACTGTGATGTTTACTTTAAGGTTCAAAGAATGTAAGCAAGTCAGAAGAAAACTTGCTGACTCCCAAATGTCACGACAAAGTAGTTCACCGAATGTCATGGAATAGTCCTGCTGTTACAGATTTTCAAGCAATCAGCAGATCTGCCAGGACACCCTGAAACAGGAATCAGTTTTTCAGAATCTGTTTTGATACTTGGAAAGCCGCCAGCTGTTCCAGATGAACTCAAATCCACGACTTTAAGTAAACAAGACAACGGCTTGGAACTTCTGCTCTGTGAAGAGGAAACTAACTCAACTGCAGAGACATTACTGAAAGTTAAGCAAGCCTTCTCTGCATCTGGTAGTAATCTTCACAATCTGATAGGTGGTACAAAATCTTCCTTCTCAGATGTAGCAGATGAAACATTAAATGAAACTTTGCATCTCACAGGGCTCAGCCCAGAGAAAAAATTGTTAGATGAAGAAGTTTCTGAAAACGTAGCAAATACAAAATCCAGAGAGATGCTGCACCAGTTTAATCAATCTTATGCTACTGATAACCAGCAATCAGAAAAAGATGAAATTAAAGTTTTGGAGAAAAGGAACTTCAAAACTTCCATTGAGATTGAGCTTAAGGTCCCGAAACCAGATACAAAAAGGGTTATAGAACTTCCTGTGCCTCAGGTTCTGGCCAGGGAAGACCAGTTGACTGTTCAGACCAGTTCATCAAAAGATGACTTAAACAAATTAGATTGCTTCGGAAGAAGCCAGGAAATAGAATTAACAGACTCACAAGCAGGTGAAAACCATAAGGTAAAAAGCTGTAATTTGGAAAAAGTTACTGCTAAACTTCCTGTGGCAGGACAGCTTCCTACATCGCAGTTGCCTAAATCCCAAAATGAAGTAGGCAACCAATACTTGCAAGCTGAAAATTCTGATAAAACCATAACTAAAACATCAACTGTTTCTGACCACGGGAAGGTTTCTGACCACATACAATGGTTCAACAAGCTTTCATTAAATGATCCCAGTTCTGCAAGCAAAACTAAACCACCTCTGAAGTTTCAACGTACTCCCGTTAGACAGTCTGTAAGAAGAATGAATTCCTTATTGGAGGCCAACAGACGATCTGTAAGTTCTCAGCTGCTTAAAGCAAGTGGTGTTGGTTCACCGCTTGTCAAGTCTTTGAGCTATGATTCTGCACTGTTCTCCTGCACAGAGAAGTCCTCAAAGAATTCTGTGGCTTTGCCACTCAGGAGTGAAAGTACATGTGACCAAGTTGCTCTATCTCATAAGCAGCTAGACTTAACATCCAAATCTTGTTGCAGACTGCCAAATCCATCAGACAATCCTGATGTTTCTGTCAGAACTGCTGGAATCCATGAACAGAAAGTGCTTGTTCATCCATCAAAATCTGTTCTAGAAGACCTGACCAATCATGAAGCAGTGAAGCCCAGTTTAAAAGTTAATGCAAATATGAACATTCCAGGTGTTGCTCCAGAGAAATCCACAATCACAAGATGTGCTCCAGGAAAAGAAAGAGTTTGTTATAGAGGCTCTCCGAAGAATCCAATATCTAAAGTGAAACTGCTACCAACTGCAAAACCAGTAGACTTGTAAGGTCAAATACGATGGCTAAATGGGCGTATTGTAACTTGGTTAACCTTTGGAAAATATAAATTTGTACTTTTTAGCTCTAATGTGTGTGTTTTGTTTTAACTGTACAAGTCACAGATTTCTACAAACAACAATTTTTTTGTTATGGTTATCTTCATTTACTGAAATGCTAGTCAGTTCATCCAAATCTGACTTCTAAAACAAAAATCACCTGATTTTACACGTCTGTGTTAGTTCTCATATTCTGTTATCTCAGCTTCTAAAAACATGCGGCATTTCCCAAAACAATTTTTGTGGTATTTAGACTAAGTACCAAGTTTTAATTTTCTTTTTTTTTTAATCAGACACTTAAAACTAACAGATGTGGAAGAAAATATCTTGATGCTAAATAGTGGTAATTAAATTTATTTACTTCTTAGTTTTAAGTAGCACTGTTTTGATAAAAGTTGGACCTTACAACGGCTCTACTTCTCTTGAGACAATGGTTTTCATTTCTGTTGGAGTAAATTGGGAGCATATTTTCCTTGTTGGGTAGGTAAATGAGTATTTTTGACATGTGTACACACACACTGGAGAATTATTAGAACACATGCAAAATGAACGTGCAGTTTATTCAAGAAGTGAAAAGTCTTAGAACTTCATCCAGCAATGTGTTCTGCACTAGGTACCAAGCATGTTCTGTGGGGAGCAGTAAAGTGTTGTATCTTAATATGAAAGGATGCTTTTAACTTATTTTTGGAGTAATAGAGTAGTGTAACTAGATGGTGCAAAAGCAGCTTTTAGATGCTGATAATACTGCAAGAGACGAATGTAAGAAGCCAGAGTGTGTTAAAAGTTGATTTGCACAAGCAAATGTTTACATCTTTTGGAATTAAAACTGTTCGTGTCTGTCATCAGTTGTAAAATTATTTAAGAGTAAACACTTGAAGCTGTTCATTAGCTTTCTGTATGTGCAAATTGCTTATTGGCAAAATGTAACAGCTGAAAGCACTGGATACTTTTGGTTTTAATAAAACCATTGGTTTTGTCCCTTTTCTGAGTCCATTCTATAATGAGTTAGAAATCTAGAGTATGTGGTCATGTGCAGACTGTGGACATCAAAACCAAGTATGAAAATGCTGAAGCCAGAAGTGACTGTTCTGGCTCCTCGTTTTGCTCATCTTAGGTAGGTGTTGGTGATTCTCACAACTAGCAGAAGGCAGGGTGCAATGTAATTTAGCAGGCGTAGGCTCCTAAACTTAGTGAGTTAGTGGAGGGAGTAGTTCAGTGTGCTTTCTGTTCGCTATCGGCATGTCCACCACCTTACTGGTGGAGTCCTGCCCGCCTCGGCCCAGTTGAGCTGCCTCGCTCCGCTGCAGTATTGTTCAGAGCTAACACGAGGGAAACAGGACCCCAACAGGATTGCTTGGCGTTGTCGTCAAGTATGGGAAGCTTCAGTTCTGTGAACTAAGGGAGCTAATGTAACAGTTCACCACCATCCCGAGAGGAACCCACTTCTCCCAGCGCTCAGCTCCGTGCTCCTACCCTCCGCCTTTCGCTAGCGCTGGCAAGCCCTTCCGTGGGCTGAACGCAGGCACCGGAGCACCGCGTTGCGTATCGTTGCACTGGGGTACGCGGGGCTCGGCAAAGCAGCTGTCGGGGCTGATGCGGGGGGGTAGGAGATGGGAATAAGAATGAAAGAGGTAAAGGTGATGTCAGGAGAAAGACGGTGAGCTCTGACTCCTTCCACAGCAGTGAGCTGTCACACCAATTCACATCTGAAGGAGCAAGCCTTGATTTTTCTCTGTTAGATGTTCCAAATGCTTTGAATGCTAATGTAGCTTTGCTGGGGGGGCCAGTAAACACTTTTTGACCATGGAGGCAAGCTGGTCTTGAGCCAGCAGACTTCCATGTCAGAAAAGGAGATTTTGGTAGGGGCCTGACAAACAACCCCTTGAACATCAGGAAAGATTGTCGAAACAAGCTGTAGGCTCTGGCTTTAGAGGTTTCACAGAACAGTTCAGGCATGCGTCTGTTTACGTGAAGTTGATCAAGTTCTGGAGAAAGATTAGGAATACTAGATGCCCAGTGGAGATCCCTACTGCTTAATCCTGCAGGTTACAGAGGTGTTAACGTACTAGAGACCGGCAAAGAGAGGGTAATACGCGTTTGACAGCGTGGTTTGTGAGTGTGTTGTGCTTCGTGGGGTATAATCTCGGAGCTTTTCTGTGAGTAGCTATCCTCAAACAGAACACGTCACATTCGTGTCGGCAGTAGCGAAGATGTGCTACGTAAAACAACCTTTAGAAATTACCGTTTTGTCAAGTGCTATTGAATGGCAAGACTTCATTTAGCAAGGCCCTTCCACAGATGTCTGTTAACCCCTGCTATGGGTGATGTATGTGGATGTGCTTCACCTGGAGACCCTCACCTGCAAGTGCTTCGAGAGGGCTGCCATGTAAACCTGCAGTTAGGTAATGCTTCTGTTGGGTAAGTGAACCGCTGTATCGTATCATTCCGGGGAGAGAAATCGCAGCGGGAAGACGGGCACAAGCCTAGGAATAGGTAGTATCTTTTGTCTGTAGCCGTGAATCCATCAACAACCTTCTGGTTATTTTTAGGCTGTTGTGTGTAGCTGAAAAGGGAGATCTTGAAAAACCCACCCCTACCCCCACTCTCCAAAGCTTTGTGCCATCGTCTTAATCGGACGGACCCGCGCAGCTGGCAAAGGGCCGCGGCAGGTCCCTCCGCACAGCGGC